TCCACGATTGCTTCTGAAACTACAGCAAAGTTAGGTAGCTGCAGCATCCACCACAGGGCACACAAAGCTTAAAATACTTATTATTTGGTCCATAATAAGATATAAGTTCAGGGTAAACCTGGGCTACATAGTGAGTTTAAGGGCAGTCTGCACTATATAGCAATACCTTGTCTCAGGAAACCAAAACAATAATAACAATAACAATAATTAACAATCATATGTAAGCCTGGAATCATTAGCAAGTATATCACCACTGCAAGGAAAGAATATATTACAATATGAAGCCAGCACAAAGAAGAAACCAAGTCCAAACATTATGTAAGTTATCAGATTCAGATGGGCCAGAAACTATTACACTGTAGTATTTTCAGTTATGTAAACCAATAAATCCAGCTTTTCTCAAGCAAGTTTGAATTGGGTTTCCTTCATTTGAACTAAAAGATTTCAAATTCACTACATGAAATCCATATAATGTTCAATGTAGAAACATGACTCTAATTTCTTCCTCTATTATATGCCTATCAATACCATGAAGACATTCAACATTCACACTAGAATGTGACTGTGTGCTAAAAAGTGTGATTTATGTAATAATTAAAATGTTGTAAAATCAACTGATTTGACGTTCACCTAGGTTTTTTTTTCCCCCAGTCATCCTAAGGTGGTGTTAAACAAGAAAAGAACAAAAGAACCAAAACTAAAATTATCCCCCGTCTCCACAAAAAATCCAACATTGAATAAATCTGTCATAGAATAATTGAGGTAGAAGTATGAAAATGGAACACAGTTGCCCTTGTTAACATCTCCCTGGAATAAGGGGACTGGCTCTAAGATCAGCCAGAGAAAAAGCCAAGTAGTAAGAAAGCCAAACTCCCAAGGGGACAGATTTAACTAATTAGAGAGGTAGTAATTAAAACTGGAGTTGTCAATTGTCAACTGGGCATGTATCTCCAGTGATGTTCTCTAGGGACTCTCAGCAATGGGAGACAAAATTATGCCTCGTGTTACAGTCATTATGCAGTCATCGTTTGTCCATATTTATCTCTCTCTTTAGGAAATCAAAAAACACACAGAGGTATGGTTTTCTATGCAAGCTACATTTTCCTGTGAGAAAATAATTTTACAACATGTTTAGAAACAGAACTGCTTTGTGTTTAAACTTATTTTTAATGTGTACATTCTGGAGTAAGGAGATGTTTCTTTCAATAGTACACTCTCCATCTGCAAAGGCCAGATGTTAATCTACTGGAAGACTGAAGTGGTTAGGAAGAGACCAATTATACACAGACAGAGAACAAATAACAAGTGGTGGGAGAGGTGGAAGAGAAGGCTTAAAATGGAGGTAGTGAAGCAGTTTTAGAATTCCACTGATTGGGAGAATGGAGGAATGGTAGTGTTTTGGTTTTTGTTGTTGCTGTTGTTGTTGTTTTTATTTTTGTTTTACCCAAACCAAGAATAGCATGCCATGACAGGATTTTTCATCCTGGGAATTTCCTCCCTTACGAGTTTAAAGAATCATTCAAAAGATTCAACAAAATTACTGTATAAAAAAAAAAACTACTGAGTACAAATTCTTAGAAGGCAGTATCAGAGTGTATCACTTACAGATGAAACCCAAATACATTGAGGGATAGACCCAGGTTCAAATTCTAGCTGTGAACTATGGTGGAAGCTGCTAACCATACACAGCCTCCTTTCTCCTCTTCCTCGAAATGCACTGGGTCCTGGCAGGACTCATGGCAGCCTAGAGTTCCCATTTTCCTCTGGATGTAGATTTGACCAAATCATTAAGTTTGTGCTAGAGGAAGTGACATGTACCCTTTTGAGTCCTTCAAAATGCTTGCCCCAGATGCTTTCATCTCCATCTTCTGGCTGGAAAATGGCAGTGCCAGAACAACCTGGGAAAACCCGTAAGTTAAGGATGGCAGAATGACCCTGGTGGGCATGGACTGCTCACTCTGGTTTCTAAGAGACAAATGTGCTTGCATGTTGCTTACCATACTATACTTTGGAGTCTCTTCATTATATTGTAACCTACCCTGTTTACTAATACAGCTACTTACACTCTGTGTGACATGGGACAAGTTATTTAACCTTGTCAGTTTTCTCATCTATAAAATGAAATCACAATTACTTCATAAGGCACTAAGAGAAATAAATGGTTTAAGAGAAGTAATATGCTCAATCCCATGCCAAACTCACAAGAAGGGCTTAACTGATGGTAGATGATGCTCACAAAGATGAAAGCTTTCAAGAAATTGCTTCCAAAGGCCTCTGACATCAAGCAGCAATTGTGCTCACAAACCCTAAAAGCAGGAACGTATATGCTTTTGAGAGCATTTTGATGAGCAATAACATATTCAGAGAAAATCAGAGCTACCTTATATTTTTAGAGCAGGGGAAGAATTAAGATTAAACAATGTTTCACCATAGTTTAGCCAACTTTTCTTAAACTATTAGTTATTTAAATCTTGTTCTATAGTATTAAATGATAATCAAACACTAGTTATTTGTTTATGCTAAGTTGATTGAGTTCCATATTTGTATAAAAAGCTGAATGGAAAAGCACATTAATCTATATTGCTAGATCACCCCACCAGAGCAGGCTGAGAAAGTAGCACAAATAAACTGAGATCAAATGCACTGGACATCTAGCTTGATGCAAAGGGTTCTAAAGTCAGTGGAGGCCATGGCCCATTTTTTCCTTGCACACACACACACACACACACACACACACACACACACACCCCTTTTGGAGAGTACTTTTGCAAGTTTAATTAATGGACTTCTTGCTCTTTGGACTCTTCTATCTTTTTATTGGTGAGACATGGCTAGATCATAATCTTAGTATTTTTGCAACCTTGAGATTTGCTAAGCCCTGTAGTTGAGATCCTTAGCACACAGATAAGAAGACTGTTCTGGGACTTCCCCCAGGGCTCTCACAGGGGTTTTATATGTCACAAGCTACAGAATAACCACAAGATTACATCACCCTGCTGAGGCCAGCATCTCTGAAATGGGAGCACAGATCACATCACCAGGCTTAACTCCTTCTATCTACCCTGATAATGCCCCATTGCTTAATGGGATGTGAGTCACTACAGTAACGGGAGATTAACCAGAGGCAATAATAAAAGATGCTGCACAGAAGCTTTTTAATTTCGTGCACTCCCATTTGCCAATTCTTGTTCTTATATCCTGGGCAATTGGAATCCTATTCAGAAAATAATTACCTAAGCCTATATCGCCAAAGTTTTCCCTATTTTTTCCCTGTGGTAGTTTCAAAGTTTCAGGTCTTACATTAAAATCTTTGATCCATTTGGAGTTGATTTTTGTACAGGGGCAGAGATAGGGATCTAGTTTCAGCCTTCTGCATGTAGATAACCAGTTTCCCAGAATCAAGAAAACACCCACAGAATGGGAGAAAATCTTCACCAGCTATTTAACAAATAAAGGATTAATATCTAAAATATACAGAGTTCAAAAAAGTAAATAGAAAAAGAATAAATAATCCAATTACTAAATGGGCAAATTAAGCCAGGCCCTGATGGCTCATGCCTGTAATCTTAGCTACTCAGGAGGCAGAAATCAGGAGGATCATGCTTCGAAGCCAGTACTAGGCAAATAATTCACAAAATCCTATTTCCAAAATACCAAAACAAAACAGGGCTGGTGGAGTGGCTCAAGTGGTAGAGTGCCTGCCTAGCAAGAGTGAAGCCCTGAGTTCAAACCCCAGTACTGCCTAAATAAATAAATAATAAACAGGTAAACAAGTTGAACAGACAGTTCTCAGAAGAAGAATACAAATGGCTAATAAATACATGAAGAAATATTCAATATCCTTAGCCATAAAGGAAACTCAAATCAAAACTACATTGAGATTCCATCTCACCCCAGTCAAAGTGGCAATCATCAAGAAAACAAACATCAACAAATGCTTGTGAGGATGCATAGAAAAGGAAACCTCATATACTGTTGGTGGGAATGCAAACTAGTTCAATCACTATATATCAGTATGGAGGGTCCTCAAAAACAAAATATAGACCTACTTTATGACCCAGCCATACCACTCTTGGGCATATATCTGAAGGAGTGTAAAAAAAATATACAAGAGAGGACTGAAGATGTGGCTCAAGTGGTGGATCATCTGCTTAGTGAGTGTGAAGCCCTAAGTTCAAACCCCAGTCTCACAAAAAAATAAATAAATAAATAGTTGCATATCCATGTTTATTTCAGCTCTGTTCACAATAGCTAAACTGTAGAATCAGCTAAGGTGCAACAACCAATGAATGGATAAAGAAAGTAAGATTGATAGATACACAGACAGACTAGCATTCATGCATGCATGCACACACCATGGAATATTACTCAGACAAAGAAAAAATGAAATTATGTCACTTTCAGAAAAATGAGTAGAACTAAAGATCATCATGTTGAGTGAGATAAGTCAAGCTCAAAAAACCAAATATTGTATTCTCACTCATTTGTGGAACCTAGACCTAAATGATGATGTTGATAATAGTAATAATGGGACATGAATGTAAAAAGAGGATGTCTGGGGGAGGATCAGTGTGAGGGAGAAGGGAAAAGAAAGGATACTGATGAGTGAAGAGGATGAAGTATGCATAATAAAACCCACCAAAAAAAATTGAAAAAGCAGGGAGAAGGAGGAAATGGAAATATAATGGAGGGGGTGAACTTGTTCAAAGTACACTGTACACATGTATGGAATTATCACAGTGAAACCCCCTTTTGCCTCTGCAAAAGTGAAGTTCTAACATAGCATCATGCAGAACTTCAGCCTTAGGACTGAGAGGCCAACACTTAGGAACTACATATACACAAATGCAATAGAAATATTCAAAAACATCAACCTAGGAATAAAAACATTGGTTTCAAAGACTCCAGATTTTAGAGCAACAGCAATAATCCCTGAGTAGGGAAGCAACAAACAACTCAGTATCTTTATTCTTGCTTTACTTCCCTGAATTGTTACTTACAGGTTCCCGGCCATCCATGGCTTCCATCCAGAGCCTGCGGTCCTCTTCCGACAATGCTTGCATGGTGATAACCCCTGGCCTGCAGAGAAAGGAGGGACATGGACATGACCCCAGTGCCACATGTAAACTAACTGGAAAAGGTGAAATTTAAAGAAATACCCACTCAACAGAGGGAGAGGTTGCTGAGGCCAAGGGCACCAAAAGAGGCACCACACTCACCTCTTCCAAGCCACCTCCCCAAATTCCTCTCAGTGAGCTCATCTGCCTCAGAGAGGCAGGAAAAAACAGAGGAGATACAGGTAAGTGACACAGTAAGGTAAGTAATGTGACTCCTTTAACCTTGTTTATTCCTTTAAATCTTATGCATTTATTTTCTCCAAAAATTCTTAACAGACTGTTTTACTACAAATAGGAATAAAATAAGTATTTATTGAGATGAATGGAGTTGTCAGACTCATGCTAAAAAGGGAAACAATCCAAGTTAGAGGTCTCTTAGTTTCCTAATATCTAGTCCAATGCTTCTAAACTGCTTTTGACAGTTTTGTAGAACTAATCAGCTTTGTAATCATGATTATATTAAATGTACATAGTTTTTAAATGAAAACTTACCATGTCAGAGGCTGTGTGCTTTATGTGTATTAGCTTTTCATGCTTTCATGGAAATCTGCTTACTCTTTACAACTGAGCATAAGCCCTCCAGAAAGCACACACACAGTACCAAATACTGTTTGTTGAGTTCTCATTACAAATAGCACTCCACAAGAGGAAAAAAAATGACCTCAGGAGAAGGTTGCACACTCCTTAAAACAAGAGTTCTTTACTTAGGGTCCACAGATGAACTGCACATTGTCCATAAACCACTTTCCCTCCCAACGTTTATATGTTTTTCTGTAGAAACATTTAACTTTCCATCTGATTGTCAAAGATTTGTCAATTGAAAAGGTTAAGAGTAGCTGATTTAAATACTCATCTTCAAAGTTTGAGAAAGAAAAGAAGAGATAGACTGAGCAAGAACTAAGTCCAACTGCCATCTGAGTCCACATGCCCTGCTGAGGAACCCCCAAGCAGTTCTACACTAAAAACACACATCTGGGCCCAAAGTCTGTTCATTCCAACCTATCTACAATCTCTGCTCTTGGTTGAATTCCATAGTTCCAATGAATAGATAGACCTGTTTAGATTCAACATATTTTGAATGTCACATCTGCATCTTTTCAAAAACCATCCCTCAGCATCCCCTGAGAAAAACACATTTTCAAAGATGTAAGAATGGAGGGCTGGGGATGTGAGAAGAATCAAGATAAGTATGTGTATGGAGAATGAGAGAGAGAGAGAATATGCACAAGTAAGAGAGACAGACACAGACAGACATAACAGAGATGGGGATGTATGTGTGGGTGAGAGCATGTAGATGAATGGGTGGGTAGGTGGGTGTGTTAAGGATGGGAGGGATGCTGATTCCTGGGCATTGGCACCACAATTGACAGGTGACTTGGAAGACAGACTAACTGTTCTCCCCATGAGCCTCTGCCAGAGCTCTCCCTCCTCTTCTCAGAAAATTTCATTCTCAGCCGCAAATGCCCATTTCCCACCAGCAGCCCATTTAGTGTGGTAGGCTCCCTGGTACCTGTACACTGTGCTCACAGAACTTACCCTGTGGTTTGAGGGCTCAATAGATTCATGTTCTCTTCTACCTTTCAAAAACAAAGTGCAGAGCTGTTTCCAAACTAATCGCTTTGAAATTAAAAGCCTATGAGACTAGAGTCTACTGAAGAACTCTCAAGTCCCTGGACCTAGATCTTTGAGTATTGTTCCAGGTCTTGTACCTGTTCTGCTTCTGAATTGGGCAATCCATTAAAATGGAGATTCCCAGCCCAACCCCACCCTTCTGAAGCCGAACTTCTGGGCTGTGTCTGGGAATTTGGACTATAATCAAGTCTAGGTGATCCTGATACATAGTTAAGTCTGAAGCCCATACCCTGGACTGCTCCGTCCATCCCCACTTGTTTCCTTCCTGGTCCCATTGCTCTGAAGAGTACAGACACCATCCTCTCTATACTGAGGTCAAGGAGTCAACACAACTCTAGTTCATTTCCTGCTAGGAAACAGTTTGAGCAAAAGAGTTGCCTAAATACCAATATTTCAAAGTCACTACAGATGTCACATCAACTTTATGGCACATGGTGCAAAATTTCCACCCAGAGCCACAAACAGGAAGCTCAGAAACTCAGAGGCTGTGAAGGGAGGGCCACTTGGTCTAAGTAACCAGGAAAAGTTAAAATTTGTTTTCATTTCAAGAAAATATATCAAACTACAAGTTCTTTTCCACATGTGGTCTTGATCCTTTTTGGGGGGAGAGTGTGGTGGAAGACAGATGGGAAATGGTGCATAAAGTAAACCTAACACATTTAGTTTTAATCCTGTTCACACAATTTTCTCTCAGGCTCGTATATGTACATTTGGATATGTACATGAATATATTTTCATCTAGATCACAATCATTTGTTTCTTTTCCTTCACCACAATTGGAGACACTATTACACAAATCTCTTAGTTGCATATGAATTTCCTAGAACCAAAGAGAAAGGATCACCTTTTGGAACTATTTTAGAATCAACTTTCTTTCCATATTTACCTTCTCTATGCCCCTCATAACCACAGCCCCTTAAAACAAAATAAAAGGGCAAAACCCTCAGTGACCCTACATTTTCTACTTCAGTCCCCAAAAGACAGCACACTTTCACACCTTTTCTTACAGGGTGTCAATTTACAATGCATATGATTTTTTTTCACAGCAAAATAGGGAGAAGAAGATGAGGAGAGAAAGCGGGAAGAAATGTGGAACAGGAATGGGAAATAAAACAATGAAAGAGAAATGGAATAAATGATGAGAGCTCTTTCAAGCTCTACAAAGAATTCTGATACTATAACACTATAATGGAAGAACAACAGTAATAGTGGGCACCAAGTGCCAGTTACTACGCTAAGCACTCTGTATAACTTAGTTTATTCAGTCTTGATAGCCATGTCATAGAGTGTGTATATTCTTATTACTCCCAATTAGCTGATGAGAAAACCAAGGCTCAGAGGACTGGGGCCATGGCTCAAGTGGTAGAGATCTTGCATTCCAAGCACAAGACCCCCGAGTTAAATATCCAGGGAAGGGAGGAGGAGGAGAGAGGTGGAGAGAAGAGAGGAGAGGAGAAGAGAAAAAAAAAATCAAGGCTCAGATTAAGTACCTTGTCTGAGATTACAAAGGTAGCAAGTTACTGAGTCAGGATGTGAAGACACATAACCTGTCTCTTAACTCTGGTGTACCATGTCACTGCAAATGTGAAGATGCCAGAGCCCCCTAGAAAACTTGTATTGACTACCCAAGTCCTATGGTGTCAAAATTTATCATGCAAGTAGCTTAATGAGCTCTTGCATGAGAGCAAATGAGATAGAATGATAAAGTGATCTGTAAACCTAAAGTGCATCATAAATACAAGGGCTCAGACTACCACTCTAGATAAATGCCCCATCCAAAACCAAGAATCCAGTAGTATCCAGTAGGGCTGGGGCTGACACTCTATAGCAGTGGCTCTATACATTTCTTCTGCGTCAAAATATTCATGAAATAGATAGGCAATGATTTTTAAAGAACACAAAAGACACTGCCATGAAGAAAAAAAACTGATAAACTAGACTTCACCAAAATGAAGAACTTGTATTCACCAAATTTACCAAAAGCTGTTAAGAGAGAGAAAAGGAAATTCAGAGCAAAAAGATATTTGAAATACATATCTTTAATAAGATTCATGTACAAAGTAAGTGAACAGTGCCTACAAATACATAGTTTAGGGAAAAATGAACAACCCAATTTAATAAAACACTTAATAAGAACTTCAAAAAAGAGAACATCCAAATGGCAAACAGGCATAAGAAATAAGGCACAAAGTGACTGCTTATCAGAAAAATGTACTTAAAACTACAATGAGATATTTTGGACATCCTCCTGAATGGAGAACATTAAAACGACCACCAATGTCAAGTTCTTGCAAGAATACAGAGCCAAAGAAGAAATTCACAAAACCACTTTAGCAATATCTACTAAAATTAAACACACACCTGTCCTGTGACATGGCCATTCTACCACTACATTTATCTCCAACAGAAATGAGTACATATGCCCACCAAATGGCACATTAAAGAATGCTTGCAGTTTTAGTCATAATAACCAAAACTACAGCAACTAAAATAGCTATCAAAAGAGAACAGATAAATCATCATATTTAAACAATGGGATACCATACAATAATAAAAAGGAACCAACTACTGTTACACAGAAAAACATGAATGAATCTCACAGACATGATTAGAAAAAAGTTAGATATAAAAGACCAGAAACCACATGATTCCAGTTACATGGTGTTCAAATACTTGAAAAACTCCCCCATAGAGACAGAAGTCAGAAGAGTGATTCTGTTTGGGGGAAGAGGTATGGCAATGTCTAGAAAGGATCACAAGGGAACCTTCTGGGGTAATAGAAATGTTCTACACCTATATCTGGATGGTTATGCGAGTGTGCGTGTGTAAAAAGTCCTCACAATACAGACCTAAAATTAGCGTGTTTTACTTGGATTACACCTCAATTAGAAACTTGTTTTAGGGCCCAGGATATAGCTCAATGGCAGCACTTGCCTAGAGTGTGCAAGACCCTGGTTTCAATCCCTAGCACTGTCAAAAAAAAATCACTTGCTTTAAATACCCAAGAGATATGACCAATAACTTAGTCTGTCTAGTTATCCTGACTCTTGTACTTCCTAGCTGTGTGACCCAGTACACAAGCAACTGCACTCCTCTCTGCTACTCTTAGGATCTGCACTTTCGAGAAAGTAGCATAGAGCAGGGTTAGCAGGGTTACACTTTGGGGCATGTTGTAAAAGCCGAATGAGAAGTGTATCACATATTTTGAAGTGTCAAGCACAAAGTAAATATCCAAAAATTAGTTGTTATCAAAGGGACAAATGGAGGAGGGTGGGGAAGAAGTATGGGGTAGAGTCAAAATTACAGCTGAAGAAGAGCAGGTGTACAGTT